ATTCTGAACATTGATGCTGGCATTTACTGTTTGCTGCCAGGGTAAAGATGTTCCTGTGCCTTCCTCAACAGGTGATTAAGTATAGCTTGACTGTTGAAGCTTCAGCACAGATGGTAATCCTGTTTCAAGTGCTAAATCATTGATTTAAATTTTTTTTTTTTTTTTTTTTTTTTTACTAAATTTTTATGTTGCTTCTGTTCATGCCCCTCCCCCCCCCCAACACCCATGTTTAATTTTTAATACTTTCTTAATGTGAACACCACTGGCCATTTTCTAACCCCACCCAGAAATCCGCTCAGCAACCACACCTCATTATTTAGTGGTGCTGATGATGGTGGCGGTATGCAGTGGTGGTGGTGGTGTTGGGGGTGGGGCAGGCACATACTTTTATTTTTTTTTTTATTTTTATTATTTTTTTTTTTTCATTTACTCGTGCTTTTCTCTACAAAACTCCCATTCCTTCACACAATTATGTTGCATCGTCATTTTCCGTATTACTGCTGCTGCTGCCGCTGCTGCTGTTGACCACTTATCCAGCCCGTTTCTTGCAGATGTATGTTTCTATATTTTTTTTTTTTATTTATGTAGTTACTAACATTTGTGTCCTGTGTAGTTGCACTTCGGTTTTCTTGTCTTTGTCTAATACTTATCTCCCTCTCCCATTTTTCTACAGCATGGAAATGCATAAGAATTTGACCCTTGACCCGGCCTCAACCCCAACAACCACGTCCTTGACCTCTGTTCAGTCCCATCATCCCTTGGCCATCCCGCTGAATCAGTTGATGAAACCAGTGCCGTATTTAAATGTTGCAAGCATATACGACCTGAGTAATGATCGCAAAAATTTTACGGCCAAAATGCGGGTTGGGGTGACGGCTAATAGTGCGTTGAAGAAAGTGGAGCGAGCAAAATTTGCACCTTACTAATGTTGAAAAAAAAAAAAAAAAAAAATTCCAAGTCTGCTTCTTCTAAGACTTTTTTTTAGCTTCACTTGAAATGAAGACATCCAAGATTTTCCTATGTGTGAGGACAACTATATTTATTGACAGATGTTATAGAGGAAACAAAAAAAAAACAATTGGAAAAGAAAAATAAAAAAATGAAAAAAAAAACAACAACAAAGCAAAAAAAAAATGAAAAAAAATCACAAAAAATGATTACAATATTTCAAAAGGATGTTAGTTTATCTAATATCCGCAAATTTCATTAGCTGAAGTCTATATTTTGTAGAATGATTTGTGCAAAATGCCAAAGATTATTTCTTTTTCTGTAAATTTGTGTAAAGTGGAATGATGATGGAATGAAGTTATAATAAGATAATATGTTTGATTGTACCTACAATGGACAAGATTATAATGTAGGCCCCTCTCCAACATTCCAGTTCTGTTGTCATTCAGGGTACTCCTCCTCATCCTTACCAGCCTTTATTCCAGTTTGCTTATTTTTTTAAAATTATTATTATTATTAAGGCCTTCCTTAATTCCAGTTGAATTTAGTAAAAAAGAAAAAAATATGAATAAAAATAAATTCCTGATATGTTACGTTAATTTCCAATTTGCATCTTCCAAATTATTGGTGAATTTGTTGATTTCGTTATTTCTTAATCAGCATAAGGCTTTTTCATCTGATTATAAAAAAAATAAACAAATAAACAAAAAAAAATTTTCTAAGATATATTAAAAGCATAAACAAACAGTAAGCTCCCGGGAGGTAATTCTAATGTTTCTGAATATGAGAAATTAAAATTTAAAAAAAAAAAAAATTAATGTAGCTTTGTGAATTGCCTTAGAATTGTCTCCCCTGAGCTGTCTATTTGTTATTTTTTTGTTTTTTTTTTTTTTTTTTTTTTGTTTTATGAACTTCAAATGTCTCATGACTGTGTTGTCATAGGCTGATTACCAATTTTGTGGGGATACCCTGGTTTTTGTTTATATTATTAATGTCCTTTATTTTTAATTTTATTTTACTTTTGATGTCAGCTATTATTATTATTATTATTATTATTATTATTCCAAAAGAAATTCTCCCTGCAGTTGTCCTGCAGCCTGAAGCGTGATTTTGTGTCTTTGTAGGATAACGACAGAAGTTTGTGGAATGGGAATTCGCTAGGTAGATGACGTATGGACCATTTTAATATCGAGATCACGAAAAAGCCACAACAGAAAAATCTGATCCACTGTTATTCAATACGTTTCAATACGTTTCTCAATTGTTTCATTTGTTTTTTTTTATGTGCTTGATCATTTGTACAAATAGTGATTGTGTTAACTTTTAATTACTTGTTTTTTTTTCTCTCTCTCAGTCACTCTTATTCTCTCTCTCTCTCTCTATCTCTCTCTCTCTCCACCGTGTTCTGTGTGAACTACAGCGTTTGAGCACTAACCAGACTTGTGGTGATGTCGGAATGTTTTTTTCTTTTTCCCTTTCAAGTAGAAGTTTAGTCGCAGCACCTGTTTCTTTTTCTTCTTTACCAAAAAAAAAAAAAATTAAAATAAAATAATATAAAATGAAAATAAAAAACGAAAACAAAAAAAACAAAACCCCCCCAAAAAATAAATGGAAAAAAAAAACAACAACCAAAAAACAAAGAAATTAAATTTAAAAAAAAAAAAGAAAGAAAGAATGTTTGAACAAAATTATAAATAAAAAAAAAATTGATCTGCAGTGGGCAGGGTGGGGTGGGGGCCATGCTCAACCAATGATAATTGACTTGTCACACAATATTTTAGAAGAATGTGGATGTATCTATATATGTATCTATGTCATTTATGTGTGTGTGTAAGCTGAGACATATACATCAAATATAAACAGATAATTTACTTTTTCCATAGAAGAATTTTACAAAATTAATAATAATAATAATAATAATAATAACAACAGATGCTATTCTATAAGTTAATTCTTATGAAATGATATAATCTAAAATGTTTGAATAAAATTTCAGAGTAGAAGACATATAATAAGAAATATAGCTTATAGCATACCTTACAACTATATTTTTATCATATATATATATATATATATATATATATATATATATATATATATATAGGCATGTCTGATTGAATAAATTACAAACATTATGTCTGCTTATTTTTATCAAAATCCTTTCATATTCACAAATATTTTTCCGTATATTACAATTAAATAAGGCAAGAAATGCACTGTAACAGCGAGAATCACTTTTATTTCCCAAGTACCTTCCATCTCTTTCTGAGATCATCACCAAGGGTGTAGTTGGTAAGGCAAAAACTGTGCAGCTGTCCATTACTGAATTTATTTTTTCTTTTGCTTTTAAATGCTACAGCTGACAGTTATGCTTTAGCGTTCACTAGAATGTGAAAAGTTATCTTTTATGGAATTTTTTTCTGTTTGAATGCTATGGCCATGCATGCATTAAAACGTAAAAATTGTTCTTTTTATAGGCATTTTAGAACATTATTACAGTGTTTGTAGCTGATTCTATTCAGTGTCGGCTTCAATTTTTTAATACACAAATATATATATATATATATATATATATATATATATATATATATATATATATGATAACAATATAGTTTTAAGGTATGCTATATTTGTAGGTAAAAGTGCTCAGAATCAGGGATAAAGTGTATGTAAATATAAAAGTGCACATTGATGTGGATACTGAATGACGATAGTCTGTTTCATTCTTGGCATTCAAGCATGAAACAACCTGTTGGTGTTGGCTTCAGTGTCCATCTTCATATATATATATATATATATATATATATATATATAGTCAAACAAGTTTTGTTAAATTCAACTGAAAATTGTCCGTTCAGTATTTTATTGTATTTTCCCAATTTTACATTAAGATATTGTACATCGTAATCCAAATTGTGGATAAATTTTCAAAAGTTTGTATTTTATTCCATTTTTGTTCAAGTACTTTTGGCCATCTGAGTATTATCATTATGGCAGACAAGATATATAATGGCATTTTTGGGGGAATGCTAGAATTTAAATTAATTCAAATATATGTGTATTGTAGAAGTAATGTCATGTGTAGTGATAGACAAGAAAAGAACGTATCAGATATTTCTATGTATTATCATTTTATAATCATATTAAATATTTTATACACAGTTTTTGAAATATTGTATTCATAATTAAAATAAAATATATTAAAATGCAAGGATGTAACTAACAAACTCTGCTCTACCAACAACTTGTTCTTGATAAGGACTGTGATCGTCAAAAGTACTTGAACCAAAAAAACAGAACAAAAAATTCACTTCAAAATGTTAATTCACAATTTTGATTAGAGTGCAATATCTTATTCATAAATTGAACAAAATATAATAAAAAAAATTGAAGAAATTGACCATGTTGGTTGAATTTAATGAAACTTGTTTGGATTAATTTTTGCTACCTAAATATACCTCATATGCATACACACACCCACACACACACCCACACAAACACACACACATACACACACACACACACACACACACATACAAAAGGTGGTGTCATAAAGTTCTCAGATTAGGATCTTCTAGCAGACTTCTTAACTGATCCTAGTCTTATAAAAGGGCTGCTGGATTCTTTGGTGATAATCCTTGTGGATGATTTCATGGATTCTTCTACATTTTCTGGGAGTTGTTTGTCCTGAGCGCTCATCATCTTGAACTGACACTCAGCCATCTTTGAAATGCTAGTGCCACTCAAAAACCCTGTGATTGATGTTAAGAATGTTCGACAAAAAAGTCCTTCGAGGGTTGTTTTAGCGGAATTGCCAGGTAAATGTGCAAAGATTTGAGGCAAGCATGTTGCTCAGATCTGTCATCCGTTGTAAAGATTGCAGAGCTGTTACAGCACACAAAACCCTCACATGAAGGCTATTAGCAGACTGATTCAGTTGGAGGGGAAAGCAGTCATCAGATCAGCTGCATGTGAATTTCCATTAAATGTTACAACCACAGCACATGTAATCCAAGAACTTTGTAAAACCATACAGACATATATCTATCAATTGCTCTCTTTCTCTCTCTACATATATATATATACACACACACACACATGCATACATGTATATATACATACATACATACATACATATATATATATTAGTTATAGCTGAAATTTTATATATATATATATATATATATATATATATATATATGCTACATTTCAAAAGTTTGAGGTCAGCCCTGGTAACTTTTTATATTAGCCCAAAACAGTTGTTTTGTACTTTAAATAAGATAAAATTGTTAAAAAAAGTGAGTTATAATTTTTATTAGAAATTTTATTATGACTAAAAGAAAAAAAAGCATTTTATAAATTTTTGCAAATATTTTTTCAAAGTATGAGTTTCAAACTATTCTTTTTTCAATAACTGTAAGAGTTCTTTTTCATTTTGGGAATGGAAATGTTTTGCTCTTCTATGAAATTCATCACACGATAATTTGGGGTGGCTTCAAACTTTTGAACTGTAGTATATATATATATATATATATATATATATATATATATATATATATATATATATATATATATATATACATTGTTAACACTAATGATTGTTTACTTTAGGGTATCATTATTTGAAGTGCACATGCTACACAGAATAAAATATAATCTAACGCAAACTATTTTAATATTCAAAATTAAATACCATCTGGATAGCTTATGTAATAAATCAGGTGGTATAGGCTTTATCATTTTCTGTTGACTATTTTTTTCTATAAGCAAAAGAAATGAAAAAAATCCAAAGAGACACCTGTTTGTTTCCTACAGATCATACACCTGATGAAATTTGTTGAACGGATCAGGTGTAGAATGGATTTACTGAAAATTAATAATATCAGCAGCAGAAAGTTTTAGTTCCGTTGTTTGAACAAATTTTTGAATGTTAAGCACTCGTCTTAGACTTACAGACAATTTTAAAATATCAAAAAACCACTCTTTACTAAGAGCTTTATGAAATGTATTTTTATTATTTGCTTTACTCAAATCTTTTTCTCTTAACCAGAAACTTGATAGAAATTCAATCTTTGACTGTCTTCTACACAGATTTTTTTATAGGAATCTCAATTAGATTATCTTTAAAAAAATTGTCTAAAGCACATACACACACACACACACACACACACACACACACACACACACACACACACACACACTTACACATGCATGCATGCACATATATATATATATATATATATATAAACACGCACACATATAAACTAATGCTTAGATTCATATTTATAAAATTAATCTGACTTCATCGAGGGCCAAGTTATATAAAAAATGTTTAATTATTTTTTTAAATTTGAAAATTTAAGAAATATGGCCTGTCATTATGCCATCAGTCATAACAACATTGCAACATTCATTCAGTGTTCCTTCTGTAAATATCAGCAACAACAACAACAACAAAAAAAAAAAACTATTCTTCCTTTCATTCTGTTTTTGCTCTTTTTAGTCCTTTCTAAAATCGAAATTCACTATAACAGAATCTATTCTATCTCTATACATATCAACCATGATTCTTTAACATACAGATTCAAAATGGCGATCTCATTTGAGCATTTGCACACAAGTATATACAACGAAAATGTCTTTGTGACTTTTCTTTTTTTATATGTGCCGTTACCTTTAAACAATGAAGGAAGGGCAGTGCATTGGCAGTTTATGTAGAGAAATCTAAATACTTCATGTGTATATACACATCAGACTGTAAGCACTTCTCTGAGTTTTGTGCTTGTGGCAATTATATATATATATATATATATATATATATATATATATATATATATTTATATATAATGGATATTATATTGATTTATATTATATATGACATAATAATTATATATAATATTATATATAATATATATAATTTCTATATAACATTATATATATATATATAATATAATAATTATATTTATATGATGTATTATATATAATTTCTATATAATATTATATATATATATATATATATATATATATATATAATATAATAATTATATTTATATGATGTATTATATATAGCAGGGTTTTCCCCTTTTAAGTTTTCTGTAGTTGGTCGAGGTTTGTTCAAGCAATGAGTATATATACATGAATTGATGTCCCTAAAATTTATTAACATTAGACAAAATAAAGAGATTTTTTAAAAAAAAGTATTTTTTATTAATTGTTTCCGCTGAAAAACTGTGAAAGTTTGATCATAGCTCTGTAGACTCACAATTTTCTCCACAAATGCATCATGAAAAATTGAAAGTTTTCTACCAAATGATATTACGTTGATAAGCACTTTTCTTCAGACATTAGTCCCTTGTTCCTCCCCTCTTTTCATGTCTTAGAATCTGACTGGAATAGGTTGACATATAAAATTAGTAGCACCTTGGTCTAATTGTTTTTTTATTATTTTTATTATGATTCCTTTTGCATAAGTTAATACTTAAAAAGAAAAAAAACTGTTGTCAGTTCCTCAATGGCCTTAGTTATAAAAGTTTTAAGTTTTGATTATTTTTA